GCCATCAGCCACCGGTGGAGAGCCACAATCCAAGACTGCCGTTCTTTCTTGGGTACACCACTTGATTCCGATCACGCCGTGGTGCGCGCACGCTTGACAGTTGGTTTCTCTTCGAAGGACTGCCATGGCTCATTGTTAGATATGACCCAGTCGTGCCCTCAATGGCGCTCGTGCATCCAAACTATTGCCTTCAATGCATAGCTCCTTTTTCACCCCTCCCCCCACCCCACTTGACAGTTCACTGACAGTGCTGGATTTATGCACCAATTTATCAGCTCCCGCTTGCAATGCGCAGCTACCTCCCCCTCACTCCCAAATAATCGGTGAACAAAACTGCGGCAGCTACAACCAGTGTACGACGAGTACGCGGTTATTACAGCTGACAATGATGATGACGGCTCTGATCAGTTGGTAGGGTCCTGCTTCGTTGCTTTGATAGATAAACATACTCCATCCATAGTTTTCATTTGAATTGATTGAGCGATTAGCGAGTCAGATATTTTAGGCTACCATTTGTCTTCACGTTGATTTTCGTGCTAAAACCCATCTGATACGCTTCATAACCAGTGAATTAGTCTTAACACAAAAGTAGAGTTTCTTGTGGGTATTGATGCTTGAATGCAAACATCTCTTTCATTAGCTGTACGTCAGCAGATGTTCCGCAGCAAATCTGCCGCAATCCCTCCTCGCTATCCGAAAACCACACCGCTGAATTCTTGCGATTTTTTTTGACGCGGCTCTCTTTTTATCATTGACGATGCTATCGAGGGACATGTAATTAATTACGCAATATTGTACCGGTTCTCGGACCTTGGTGATGAGAAATAAGTTTGCAACCGGTTGTCCAATATTGATTGATCAGGTGGTCGTTGATCTGTTCGATCTATTCCATTCACTTAGCTTGCCGAGCTACTAATATTCCGGTACATGCCCTTCATTGCCCAGTGCTTCTATTGTCTATTTCAACGATGAAACACGTAGTCTATGTTTTCTGAGCCGAGACTCCATGAATACTAATGTCTCACTACCTTTGTGCTTATTTCGGCTCTGCAGCTAAAGGATGCGAAGAACGACAATGAGCTTTTCTATCGTAGTGTAAACTGTGGAATGATAGCTACAGGAGTGTTTCACAGTGTCGCTACCTGTGCAAATGGATCACTACTGGGACGGTTTCTGGATGGTCACCGTTTAGGTACATATAACACTTGCTGATTTGATCGGATGAAGCTACGAGCACCATGTCAATAGATGGACTAAACATTGCGTGTTTTATCCGAGTTTGTGTTCATGGGTGTTGTTGATTTTGGCAAGTAGAGCGAAACCGGTCGTGAGCTGTCGAAGAGTTTTCAGCAACCTTATGAGTAATTTATTACAACTAGACACTCTATTCTATTGAAATCTTACCATTTCAGACACTTGGCGAGAATATCAATGACGCGATTTATAGCGACAAGGCGAGTGTTCTTCGAAAGTGGCACCAATTACGAATGCATTGGACACTGTCAGCTTTAGAGACGGCTTTGTCGCCAGCGAACGGGTCGTACTTCGACTGCGGTTTCACTCTGTGTCTAACCCTGGCATCTCCGATCGAAAGTGCTGTTCAGCTCGTACGCAACTTAGTGAGCTCATCACGACATCTTCCGAAGAAACTGATGGCAAGTTACCTGTGAATATGGATTGGACTTCAATTTAAGCGATTCTCGCTAACCTCTTTATACGTGTATTTTTCTATTGTTCATTTGTAATGCTGCCTGTTTATCACTAACTGAAAGTGTGATCCAGTCCATTTCTTATTCTGAGGGCCATTTATTTGTATTCCGTCATTCTTCCATTGCCTAAAGGCCATCGCTAGTATTGTATATGCGTTCGCAATCGTATCACCTCGACGTGCATCCGCCCTACTCGAACTCAGTAGCTCAATGGCTAAGTCGTGGCACTGGCATGCAGCTCTGAAAACCTACGGGGTAAGCCAGAATGTCAGTTTCTGCTTGTTTGTTTCTGTTTGCTTCCCGGAACTACTATCGATGTTGACTCTCTCTATATGTTGTCCTATATGAATGAGTTGGCCTCATGCTTGTCCAGAAACTAAAAACAGTATCCTTACATGAAAGAATGATTCACTTCGTTTTTATTCTTTCTTACTACTGTTACTGGCGTCACAGTAGAGTAGGCGATGTGCATGGGAAAGTGCTTGACAAATTCCGATTATTGCGAATAGTGCTTACTGTGGTTCGGTTTGGTAACCTAATTGGTTGGAACGTGACCAATACCTTGTGCGTACTCTTCAGCCTGAATGGGGACAAAGTGAAGATGATAACAACTACACAACCTACACTGAGTTACACTTAACTTACACTTAACTGCAATGTTCTGGAGGTATCCCTCTGGTATCCCTGGTATCCTTCTTATGCGATGTGACGTATGTGATAATGCAGGTGGGGAAACCCTTGGAATGTCATGGGTTGTGTGTTCGTATAAATCCGCCAATTTAGTTTTCTGAAAAGAGTCATGGATCAGAAAAAATCAGCCGTAACGATGAAGTAGACCGTTCCAATTGAAACTCACCGTTGCAACGATGTCGCTCATGATGATCACAATGAATTCGTTTCGGGTGATTTACACATTATGAAATACATGGCTTGATGTCCGGGTAGTTCGTGGATGTCCGATCGAGTACTTATTAGCGAATCCGAATCTTTAGAGCCACGAGTTGAACTTACCAGGTTGAGATCTTTGGGACCTGTATTACGTACGCCCAACCACTGACTACCTAAGAAAGTGTTGTTTATTGCTTTAAACAACTGTTGACTAAGGGTTTGTGACTGTTTGATCTTCGTACCCTACTGGCTGGGGCCCATGCGATCCTGCTTACAGGCGGTTGAAAACCCCACAAGAAATGGCACGCAACGGATCCCAAGGGCGCGATGCAGAGGTCGTGTTTGAGGCACGGACCTTCCTGTCAGTGAATTTGCGCTTTGACCACTGAGCCATCTCACCCCCGGTTCGCTGTACACTCTCCCTCATCATCATCATCGACAGCATAACATCAGTGTTGAACAGTGATGCTTCACTATCATATACGCTCTCCCTACTGCCTTGCAGCTTGCGCGAAAGCTCGAATAAAGATCCTGTGGCGCTGGGAGGTACACAAATTTTCATGATGCTTCATCATCCATTCCAATACCAGGTCCCGTTCCTGATTAGTACTCCCCAAGAAGCTGGCTCAGCTATCACGGTTACAAATATGTAAGCTAGGCTTCGTTCTTAGAAGTCAGGAGTTTTTATTATTCAAGCCACACTTGGAGTTGAAATAATCTAGTGCAGAAAACGAACCTTCACATAGCGAATTCCGGGTAGCTGGTAATCACAACCCATCTGAGTTTAAAAAAATATAACCTGTAGTAGTTAATCACAGAAGGGCGTAAATCTTCACAATTTTTGGTCTACGTTCTTCCGCAAGTTCTTTTTTGACTAAGATTGTCATCCCGCAAGCCACTGTACAGGTGATTTGGACGAATCTTGGTGCCAACCACTCGTTTTCATCCTGAATTTCGCTTTTTGGGGTTTCTTTTGTTTTTTTTCTGTCGATAGTTACTTAAGCTTCAGCCCTTGATGCCTGATTCTACTTCAGCTTGACCTCTCGCATGCTGGACATCGTGCAGAAGCCTCACCCTTCCAGATCGTTTTCGACAAACTCTGTCGCATGGTACCGGTTCCTTCACCAGACAAAACGACTAGCCGTAAGCAGATGTCGGTCCTTCTTCCCGCGGGTCGTCGAGCGGATTTCCTCTCAGTTACTTCCATGCGCTCATTAAAACTGCGGCCGTTACCGCCACTTAGTCTGCTGGCTCAGTTTGCCCACGACTATGATCTGTGCTTAAGACGAGGCTTGCTGAACCATCTAAAGTCTCTGTTTGTGCCAAAGGCTGAGCTGTTTTGTCAACAGTCGTCCACCGATACTCTTTTTTCGGGAAATACGGACAGCGAAATTGACACAAAAGCCTATCGGTTAGTAACACTAAGACTCTCCGGTCAATGATTAAATGGCTGCTTTCATATTTACTACTCTTAAATGTGTTACGCGACTTATGAGTAATTCTGGTGCCACTGTACTGTGAGTCATTTTCACCCTTACTATTAAGCAACTTATTAGGTAGTTACTTAAAAAAGCAGTATTCATCCTGGAATGTTTTTCCCACTTTTGATTCTAGTTCCCGTGAATCGATGTTACTGTCGCGTGCCCGACTCGTTGTGAAGCATTTGCTATTCTTGTGCAAAGACACATGTTTGGACGAATTGAAAACAACCCTTCTTCGATTCTTCACAGAAACTTCGTCGTACGATTACGAGCGTCTTCGTTTCCTTACGTCTTGGATTTCCGAGTGCGATCCTTGTTCTTTGGAGCCACAGGTAGTGCCGTCAAATTGCATAAGATTATTTGTCTTTAATTGAGCAGCTTTAGGTTCGCGTTGACTTGTTCCAAGTGTAGATTATCCCGTTTTTCATCATAGAACCAAAAAGCTAAGAATACTTGTTTGCTTTCATCAATTATCACCATTTCAACTGGGGAACAACGCTGAAACTATTTTATCTTTCTAACTCACGACAATCTTGTTTGGCATCAGCCTCGGTGCTGCTTGGTCGCGACCAATTCGTGCGACCTCACCATCCTATTTTTGTTTGGGTAGTCACGCCTGATATACTGTTGCCTGTCCAGTAGCGGCGAGATCTATGTCCGATCGTTTTACTAACCTTCTTTTTCACCGCTTTCAGAAGGTGAAACTATTGCATCTCCTGGAGTCGTATGTGCGAACCTGTGGTGCCGATGAATCTGAACGTGAGCGAACTACAAACAGTTCGGGTAGCCAGGCAAGTTGTCTGCCTAAGTTTTAGACGATTTGTCAGACTTCCGTCGTTTTTGGTATCCGATTTTAACAATATACCCGACATTTTCCTGCAGTTTGCTTGGGTGTTTGAAAGTTTGCTTGTTAGGACTTGCCTGAAGACTATTAACTTGTACTATTTTTCCCCTCGAACCAGCAATTCACATTCTCAAATCTGGCTGACCGGCACCCAATGTGTCACGTGCGAATGCCTTATCACTTGGTTGCAACACATCCACCCCCACTGGATGTAATAAGTAAGCACCGCTCTGTTTATGTGGCGTACAAGTCGTCCAGTCCACAGCCAGATCTTTTCCTTTGTAAGGTCACAATGCGCCACCAACCTCACTTTCAATGTTATTTTTTTCATTATCACGCTTGCTTCTTATTGACAACCTGGCACGTCACCTTAAGGAGGAACTGGATGGGGCATTTATTTTTAATCTCTTTCACTAACCGATAGACGTATTTCACAACAGCTGATTAGAAAATCAACTACATCACGCCACAATGGTTATGGACATCAAAGTCCAAACCTCCATTGTTCAACTGGGGCGTCCTTTCGAACCACAGACATCCCGTCGTCAGCTACGAATTCAACTTAGCTATTTGTAGCTTTGTAGAGGCAGATTTATCCACCACCAGGAAACGATTAACATTTGTTTCTCTACTAGTCACATGTTCGACGCGCTGATCATCTCGAAGTGTGGATGGTCCCACCGACAACCTGCAGTCTGGTAACAAATTAACACTCCCGTATCCGGAGGTATTGATTTACATTTAGCCAATCAAGCAAACAGTGCGAGACGACTTTGATTTATTCAACCGACGGTACACTCATATTACAAAAGCTGCTTATTTTACGACAACTTAAAGTAATGATCTTATGCGGTATCAGGCTATGGTACCCGTTACATCCAGTCCGTCCTTCTGAAGTGACGTATCCGTTCGCCATTTGAAGATCAAGAATGCTTCTATCTGATAGCCCATGTAACCATCCGGGTCGAAGTCCAATTAACTGAAACCTTTTGATGCTACTGTCGCCTTAGTTTTTCTCGTTAGTACTGATGATTGTTGGCTGCTATGGGACGCACTTTTTATTCCGGATGCATCATCGTTTTATCCCTTGATCGTATGTTAATGTGGTTCTTGAAAGCTTACTTCACATCTAGGTTCCGAAGTGAACGCAAATACGGTGGATTTCTGGCTTCGAGTGGATAAATTGATGCAGGTAAGCTTCTTTTTGGTAGCTCCTCTTCTTCAAGGGAGCCTGACTTGCCGGAATTTGAAGCAACTCAAAGCTGCACTACTCTTGAATGGCCACACTTGTTTTGAACTGTTTCCCTGAATTAACGATATTCAACCCCAACCTAAGTGTCTCAGACTGCTGTTCACCATTTCTAGTTACCTCACTATGTGAAGTTTTGGAAATGGTGACCAATACCCGCCTCCGAGCAAATGAACCATTCGCGAAACGATATTCACTTTTGGACCGTAGGCTACGTGGACCATGGCAAAGCAGAACTGATAAGTCGAAATTCATCCTTAATAGCGACGGGTGCCCGCTTGGATCCATAAACTTGAATACTTCACAAGAAATAGCGGTGTACCGGTAGTTTTTCCCCAGCTTACGATTCGCAATGTCTTTCGCTCCCGAAACACAATGAATAACTCTATCTTGTACCTGACTGCATCAGTTCCACTCATCCGTTGAACGATTTAGTGACAGTTTATTGTTCGCTCAGAAAATACTTACGGTCCGGTATACGTATGAAGGTGTGTTGGATGTTCGAGAGTTGGAACTACTGACTAGTTCGACATCCTACTCGACTGGCTCACTGAAGCCCGGCAACTACTTTATCCATCAAAAATGCACTTAGGCTGTACACATGGGCGTGCGTATATGAATGTGGGCCGCATTTCGTAAGGAAACCAAACACACAACTCGTAGGTTGTTTTAGTTGACTACTTCACTGAAATTTTCCTTGGTCTAAAACTGTTTACTTTTTAGTAATGGGGCTTTGAAGCATAATCAGATCGTTCCCACGTATGTGCCAGTCGATCACTCCGATTCAGATTAATATGGGATTTCCCTTCGCTGCAAATTTCGCAAGAGTTTGATTCCAACTGACTTCCCGATACAGTCGAGTGGGACAATCGGGTTTGGTTGACCCACGTGACAACTTTGCATTGCTATTTTACGGACCTTGGATACAACGTTATATGCTGTGTGATACTGTCAAAATGCATACCGCCCTAGGAGGCAGCCTAACTTGACTTGGTTTTAACACGTACATCCAGCTTACACAGCAGCGAACTGCGTGTGCATTTCTTTGTGGATAGTTTAAACATACCGGGTACCCTAGAATTAGGGCATATGAGGATGTCCTGTAACCGTTTACTCCAGTGACGTGTGAAAAATTGTAACACCACCTGACTACTTACTAGCAGTCATATTCGTACCGAATTTCTTAGTGTCAACCCAAACCACCGGAATTCATGCGTGCCACCCTCACGACGGAGGTCGGAAACTACATGTTAGGATCAAGAATGTGAAACTTCTATTTGAAAATGAAAGGATCAAATTTCGCCCCGTCCGTTTGATGAGTTCACGTCAAGGCGAAGTGCGTAGTGTATCCTTCTCCCAGGACCAACTAGTTTTAATTCTCATTGAATTTTAGTTCTTCCGTGAGAACAGTGGGTTTGGTCTCCGCTTTCCTGCTAACTGTCCGTCAGTGACACGCCTATCCGTACTAATTTAGTTTTCCAATTGCTTCAATCTTTTTACACTTCAGTGGAACTCATCCGACGATCTCCGCTTGATGGCTGCCAACAGTCTTGTCTCGCAGTACGAAAAAGCCGATTTATTGCCGTTGGCCGGTTCGACGCGTTCCACTTTACTAAAAATACCCGCCGCTGCCAGCTGGGATCGAAGTCTGCCCTGTCAGGCACTTATGGCTCCATTCTTTTCCACACTTCGCAACCTTTTGAGAACAGTCACCGATCAACAAAAGGTCTTAGCGTTTCTTGGAGGTCAGTTCAGCCATATTTGGGACCCCGATATTATTGAGCGGGAATTTTCTGAAACTTTTCCACGGAATTCTCTTGGGTTGGGTCTTGAGAGACTTATCTTAACTATTCTCACAAAAACGCCACTAAACCGCTGGACCAATCAGGTGTCTTTCTCCACAGCATACTTTACGCCGTTTTTTGGTCAAACTGATCGTTATCTGACCATCCCTCCGTTATACAGGTCCATGGATGAGTCACTCTTTGCATAGTGATGGGGCTAACTAACTCGAGTTTCTTCTCATTCACACCACAGGCTTCAGTGCCCTTTACAACAACCATAGCCGCGTACCAGCAAAAAAGTTTAATATTTGACGCTCTTCTTCCGATAAACCAGCCCTATAAGACAGCCCCTGCTGCCGCCATAATTTAGCGCTGACAGGTGTCTGTTACTCGGCGAGTTCGTGGTTTATAAGGGAAGATAGGGGAGATGTGGTGAGGACCGGTCGCCTCTCATGCATTTTGTAAACCATTCAGGTGAGGGCTATTTATCGGGTTGGATAAGGCTTTTGTCTTCCGCTAAGAAGTCTCTGGTTGTCCCTATTTCACGTTGACACAACTGCTAACGCGTCATAGCGCTGGTAACTGTATGCTTTCCATGTCGTTTGTGTATCATTCGAAACATTTCGGTATCTGTGGCACGTGACCAAGGCTCGTTGATTGTGTGAAACATCTGTGAAATACGGAATATAGTTCCGCCTCCTCAGGCCTCCACAATCCTAATACCTGACGGGCAACCAGAAACTGGGAATCAGTGTTAATTGGAGCACAAAACTTTGCACACAAACATTATGGGTTTACACAGATCACCCACTCTGGGGTCACCTTGCCCAATTTTTCCATAAGATCTGGTGAATGTGGCGATATCGTGATGTTTTTCTCACAAATAGTGTTTAACGCTTGTGATTTACGGAAGCATTTGAAATGTAGATATCTCACGACCCTTATCTTCTTGCTGTTGGGATGCAATGAATAAGACGAACCCGAAAATCCAACAATGAGATTTCTGCAGCAGATGAAATATGAGTAGGAGAGGTTCGTAGAATACGTGACGTATTCTGGGAAGCCCAACTGAGTGACGCGCGAAATCACAAACCAGGAATTACGAGGTCTTGAGATTTATCAACAAACCACGGTACTACATGTACAAAATGCATAAGTAAAAAGGACAAAAACCTAAAGTTACGGGGATTTTCGTCTAATTGTTGCGCGAGTCGGTGCAAGTCCAAAGAAAGCCTGGTAAGAATGGCGAATCGACGTGAATTACGGAAAACCGTTCACACACAGCACGTGGTAACGCAATTGGGTTCAAGCAAGGGAAGTCTTTGACCGAGAGAAGGGAGGTACAGGACTTTTGATCTTAATTCCCAATCCTCAGTCCGTATATGCCCCAATAGAAAAATGCCATCACTACTGGTTTGAGACCATGTCATGCATCGCCTCTAAGTCAGTGGTGAACAAATATCCACTAACCAGGAAGAGAAAGGAAGGAAATGTTTCTCTCTGGAAGCATTTTAAAAAAAATTATATATTAGAGGTTTCCTAAACAATCATGAGGAAGGGAATAGTCTCGGAAAAATAATGCATCTGAACTCGGGTCCAACTTATCCAAACTACCTGATTTTTTCAACATACAATTCTGTTATCTTTACAAAAGAGCCTAATCGTGGCACACCGCCCGATGTTTGTGCCTTCATGTAAGCCCCATGTGCCTTTGATTCACCCAAATTACATGCCGTGAGATCCGACTACTTGTTTATCCTCGCGCTAATAACTGGCCAGCGTTCAATCGAACGTACTGATGGTTTATAAGTTGCTCTATTCTGCTTGCTATTTAGCTACTATTTAGCCTTGCTCATATTGACACTAGCATAGAGTGGACGGGTGTTTTCATACACTTCCAGCGCAGTGTGCATAATATAAATACAGTATAGTAATATAACAGTATAGTATACAGTATAGTAATATAACATTTTACGGTAACAGGTGTTCCGATATCTAATACCAAACCCCATACAATACAAACCCATCCATATGTGGTTTCCTCTATCTTCACTGTAATCCGCTTCCCGTACGGGCTTTGTTGTATCGCCTCATCCAGGTTTGTCGCGTCGTGTGATTTACGGTCCTCAAGGCCTCCGTGTACTTGAAATCGCTTGTGAGTTTGCAGAGCAGTGGCTCAACAAGGCTGATGAGGAAGCACGCCTGGAATACAAAAATGAACTGTCCCAGCAGCAGTGGATTAACCGAAGTAACCTATCACAAGAACTAGAGGAATCTGCTATACATATGGCAGCGGACGAACGCATCCAGTGGTCTCGCGATGCGTTGGAACGTGCGAATGCTCGATATAGACAGTTGGCTATGGAAGCTTGCCTTCATCAGAACCATCTGGCACACTGGAATGAAGTCACCCAACAACTTCAGGAGTAAGGCTTGTATTCTTCCCCTAGATTTTCTTTCAACGATCCCATGTCTGTCGCTGTCTAGCACTCTAGCAAAGGTATTTGTTTTGAGCGGATTACCATAGCAAACATGGGTAAAAGAGCGATTTGACGTGATCGATTGTGTCTCTCGTTTCCATCACAATCACATGACATGGTATTCACCATCCTTGTTCCGATTCAACGCCTGAGACTGCTTTACGACGACACTTGTTTGAAGTTAGTTCCTGATTCACAGAAAGTTTGTGTACTCATATAACGTGATTAGCCTTAAGCAGGTTACTTCTTGAAGCAGTTGCTAACGCGCCGTTGTTCTGGGTCCGCTAAAAAGAGACTGAACCCCACTATGATATCACAGTTTGTGCACCTCCGTGAACCACAACTATGCTGGAAGCTGTCTGCCTGATAGTCATCAGTTTCGTCAATAGATGTGGGTTAGATTAACAGAGTCTCTGGCCTTCCAAGTTAGCGGTTAGAACACATGTCGCGACTTGTTCCTGTTCTGACGGACCATGAGGCGTCGGGTGTCGAAATTCTACCATAGTAGTACAATTTTCGAGTGTGCAGGTTGTCTTACACGTTCCAACCCGCTACCCGGAAAGCCAGGGAACTGCGTTCTAGAGGCTCTATCAATTGACCATTCTCGTATGTGCAAGCGAACCTCCCCACAATAAAGCCCCATGTGTCATAGAAGCACAGAACCCATCGCACCACGATGCTCACTGTTTAGTCCGATTGTGGTGGCTACAATCCCTCACTGAGAAACACAAAGTTCTTTGTGTGATAATTCGAAACAGTAGGCTCTTCTGCATTGTGAAGCAGTCCGGTGCATCTTCTCACTAAGGGAAGGCTGGAACACATCAGAGATGGTGTGCAGATGACATTTCATATTGAGTGCAATATGGATTGTTTTCAATTTCCGTGAAGTCAGGCAATATAGTATAATGGCCATAGTGAATATTTCACTGTTCACTCTCCAGAACGTGGGGTTTCGTCGACTAAAGCAACTTACAGTCAACTGGTTGCTTCACTGGAAAATATGGGACCAGTTGTTGAGTATTTGGTGGTTGTAGTTCCATCTATCAGTTTAGCATAAAAAGCATTGTGGCTTGTTGATGGAATTCCCTTGTTATTTCAGCAGTACGCAAAAACGGACGTCAGTTTGTTCTTCCCACAGATGTCGAATGAGTATAGTGACCCACTGAACTTTGCTTGTTAACAAAGTTCAGTAGGTCACTCTTCCTCCGTGACTCATACTCTTGTTCATGCATAAGTGAATAGAATACGAAGTTTGCTAATAATGGTTATCTGTACGGCCCATCGGACACCTGTATACTATGCATGGTCAAACATCGAATAGTGATGCAACGCGCATCTTTGACTCTATGCAATGTACCACATAGTACCGCACTTTCAGCGTAGTCTCGGATTTGCGATGGNGTAACAGCATCCCAACACCTCTAAGTGTCACTTGAAACCTGTCAACATGTTTATCACTGAAAAGTTTTGTTGTCCTCACGAAATTCCGGTCCTTTATGTGAATTCCCAACAGCTCGCGTTTTTCTTGTAAACTCTTGTAGCCTAAATACCTAACTGATGCTATGAGGCAACCGGTGATGATTCTGATAGACTGCACGTATATAGTCTTCTGTCATAAAGTTCAGTCTGTATTTTGCTACTTAGCTGAGCTACCAATAATTCTTTGCTTGACGTCAAGCAAATGAGGAAGAACATCATAGTCGTGAGATTCATCTGGGTTCCGGGTGAGCATCCCATCAAAACCAAATTGGTATGCATCACTTATATCAGCTACCACCTTCATTGCGCAGTGCCTACCCCACCTTCTCAGATCATCAGCGAACGAAACTGGTAGCTGGAACCACTGTACGGCAATTACGCGGTTATTACAGCTGATGCTGAGGAGTTAATTTGCATATCGACTGTTGAAGTTGAGTCTGTTACGACAGTGATCTGACAAAACTGAAGTCGCTAACACTCAGCGCATCCCGTTTATGCTGGAGAGTGGAACCGCGTTGCTAAGAACGCTACGCATTGCACAGCATGGTACTTTCAGTGCCCTATAGTTCTACACCAGCGTATTTTGTTGAAGTAATCTAGAGCATCAGCCTAAGCAATCCAGGTATGTGATTTTGCTCTCTACGATGCACTTTCGGCCTGTCCCACGCGCAGACGTCAAAAGTAAACTGGCAGTTTTACAAAACCGGGTGCGATGTTAATATGACTAATGTGGTGCTGCGTCCATATATTTCAGACATTTTCCTGTCGTTGTGTGGAACAATGTCATTGGAACTACGGCTCTTATCCCTTGAGTGTTTCTGAAGGGCTACGGGCAGCGATCTGTTTTCCCATCATGTGTCTTTTTAACTGCACTTAATTTTAAAGACTCATAAACTTTTTCATTCGTTCATGTGATGATAGTTGACTCGTGTAAACAATGAGATGACTGGCATTCGCACTGTAGCAGCCGGAACCACTACATGGTGGTATAGCTTAAAATGCTGAACTCAACATTAATCGATCTTCCTTTCACTTTTCGAGGTCTTCTCCGGTACTACTTTTATGGATTTATTCCCATACATCCCTTACCTGTAACACTTTTATCAACAAGAACTTTAGTCATTTATACAAAGCGGTGGCACTGTTTGTCCTGATGACCACCGTTCGCTTGATTTTACGACTACAGCTGACTTATGAAACATAAAATCCAGGGAGAGTAGGCACTGTGCAGCTTATTTATTCATTCAACACTTGCAGACACGTATCATTAGCTAACCACAGCAATTCCATTTAGTATTTTATGCGACTTTATTTCCTCTGTTTAACACTTAGTCACATTCATCATCCTTTCTTCCCTAACAGACCCGCCAAACTAATTACCACCCTTCTGATGAAAGTTGTGTCAGTCCTCACTGAAGATTACAAGACAGACGCTTCGGTCAGTTCGCGCCTACCGGTTTCGGACTTATCACTCCGCCATCGCCTTCTTCGAGCCATACCGCGACTCGCCGAAATTGCGCGCATCGACCTACTGGAGTTCAGCTGTAGATTGTTGGTTGATCGCCTCCGGTTGCCTGCGCAGATGTTAACTACCGGTGTGGCTCTTGGTCCCAACGATAGTGTATCTAACCAAAGTCTCCTGTTGGACACAAGTATTGGATCACAGAGCATCGCTCCCTGTGACATTACGTTTAGTGCTACTTTCGTGGGTTACCAAACAAAACCTGTCAGTTGTTCGTCCCCTTCGTCGGAGCAACCAATGGAAGAGGACTACTTGATTGCGGAAATTTTACTTCGTGTTCCTCACACGCGTCAAGAATTTCTCCCCAGCCTACACTCCTTTGTCTTCACTGGAGACATGAACGCCTATGTAGTTCCACGTTGGTGTGCAGCACGTTGTATCCTCCGGTCTCAGTTAGGGTTGGTCGTTTGGCCGCGTCTATCTTTCAGCGAACTGCGTGCTGTTTTGAGTCGTCTGGCTTTGTTGGCCAAATGGCCTGTGTCAGCCCATCAACGTCTGCTTATTGAAGCGTCTGATACCAAGACCTCCCAACAAGGTGGCACCTATACTTCAATTTCCGTCGATCGCCTTGAGACATGTGTCAATCAGCTACTAACTGTAGAAGTTAACCGCCCCCTCGCAATCGAAATGGCGAGCATATTGACCGTAGACTTCAACTTGATCAACACACGGATTATCAACCAGCTTCTTTTCTATTTGAGAGAACAGCCGGCTGCCCAAAGTATTCCCTACTGGATCCGTTTGATGGACTGCCTTCGGAGCTTTGCTGCTTGGTGGAAGTCGTTTGCTTGGCTATGGGACTCCTCTTTCGATACGCGGACCGTTTCTCACCTAATTCAACAGTCCCTAGCACTTGGATTGGGTCCTGAATCACACAACTCGAGGCGAGTTGGTCTAGGATTTAACCGAAGCCTATTCACCCTTATTGGCTGGCCATTCCCAGATGAAAACCTTGAAAGTGCACTTGTATCTGCTGGAAGCCAACTTGTCAATCGGCCAATCACTTTCGGAAATGAGGAACGACATGCTTACAGACTCGGCATACTCTGTCACCTTTTGGTGCTCATGTCAACCGTATGCTGCCGAGCAGAAAACGCTGACTCGCTCAGGTCTATTTTCAAATGGGTAAGTTGAAAGCTGTGCATTCCCTCCCTAAGTGAAAAACGTCAAGCGCAGCCGGGAAGTGTTGTGCATATCTGTTATGCCGAGCGCCATTAATTAGTTTTTATCACCTTTGTCTATCTAGTTGTTACTGACTCTTCCGTTTGTCAAGCATTGCGTTGGAAGCTAAAGAAGGCAGAGTTGGTTGCTTGATTGCGTGTCAGTAATCGGTTATTTGTCTGAAAGAACTTTGGGGTGGTGTTTCGTCTGTTTGCCGTCCTTTAGAGTAAATTATCAAGATAACTGAATGCTATGGGTCGTCAATAATTTATCCTAACAAAACCGCTGACAACGCTTCCCGCTATTACACCGTCCTCATTGGGTGTTTCCTTTAGTGACCAGTTGAATGGTGCATCGCTTTGCCTCTTAGTTTGTAATATGTTGTCTCAATTCGGCCGCTGAGCTTGAATCGTTACCATCACTGACTACATCGGCGAAAAACATTTGTGCTTCCGTCTTTTACAGTGACCCATCTACTCATTTCACCACGTTTTCTTTTAAAATTTCGGCACTTCCACACTCCATGTACTACTCGTACGTTTTAATTGGGTTATTCTTCTTCCGATTCAGTTTTCCGATTGTGGGAATCACCGGGATATGGACCGGCTTCGTGACGCACTTGAAAGGACCGACCTTCACTTAACAGTTTCATGTTTTAAAGATATTTGACATTTACCGTTAGTTATCAATTCCGTTACTATTCTTTTACATCCAATGTTTTTTCCTGATTGCTGTATTTGATGGGCAATCCAATGACTGAACCGGAAAAGATGCGTTCCTTTCCAGATCGTTGTGAGATAGCAACCCATCCGCCTGTTTGTGTAGTAACGAACTACAGCGCATTTAAAAAGCTCATGCATTTGTTTTGTTCACAATCAGTTTGGTTTCTATCTTTTTCCTAAGTAAACTTTCCGCTCTGACAGTAATCTGTTCTTCGTATGTCCGTCGGTCTCAGACGCTCTCACTTTGAAGTCCGATAAAGGGGGGAAGCCTTCCGCCGCAGAGTTGTTTATCTGAAAACACCAACTAAACAGTTACAGACTATTGGATAGGAAAGTAAAACTCTCACTTGTGCCTTGTTTTAAAAAAACGGATATCAATCTTCTTGAACTTTCTTAGATATTTATTGACTGTCACGCAATCGTAAACGAATACTAGCGTCCGTTGCAACAGTGAACATCTCTCCCACCCTGGGTAATTTGAGGGTCAGTTGCTGATCCGGCATCCGTGCTTTGACACGCTCGAAAGCCTCAAGTGCTTCCCTGGTCTTTTCGTACTTCCGATTTTGCCCGAGCAAGTCGTACAATGGAGCAACAATAGCGTTGAAATTCTTGACAAACGGGCTGTGGTATGCTGCTTGTCCAAGAAACTGCCGTAGGGACCGCTGTGAATTGGGAACAGCACAGTTCTCGATGTTTGCCAGTTTTTCTGGGAGTGGGCCAACTTCTCCGTGACCCACTTCATACCTCAGCAGTGTCACCGAACAAGCGTCGAGTAGTGTCTTGGCTTCATTTATCCGCGGGCCAGTCTACCGGATACACTTCAATACGGCCTTCAAGTGTACTGCGTGCTCCAGTTCCGAATAGTTGTACACAACAATGTCGTCTCCGTTCTGGAGTCCATTCGTTAAACGAAGCATCAAGCGTCGGAATGTGAATGGTACTCCAGACAAACCGAACGGCATCCATATAGATTAGTATTGAGTGTTCCCAAACGTGAACGCCGTTTTCTTCCGGCCCTCCTCTTTGATAGATAGTTGCCAGTATTCGGAACGCAAGTCAAACACCGTGAAATATCGGGAATACTGGACGGAGTCGAAAATCTCTACAACCGAAGGGACAGCTATAACTCATGGACAATCGACTAAATTCGGATGTCTGGTGACTGTAGTTGTCTATAGGCGTCTACCTGGTGATTCTCCAGTGCAACTCTCACTAGGCTCCCTCAATGTCTATCACCCTTCTCCGAAATATAATCAGGGCCGTCACAGATCGCATGATTCAGTGCGCGCTATCGTGACTTTATGTAATGACAAAAACATGTACGTTATCGATCTTATCGTTGATATGTCTACCGCTACTGAATCTGCCCCTTTGAGGTTTCGGTCAATCGTAACAATTGGGTTTATTTTAACACATTTGTGTATCGCTCGACTCTGACTAATCCATTAATTATTGTGTAGGTGGTGTTTGATGGTCTTTGCAATAATACTAAAGGAGCCGGGATAATAGGAACTCTGGTTATCCACGCTGTCGAACCAAGCCTATAGCCCTGAAGGTTGTGGGTAGCCGATCTCCGTCCACCAATTTTTCAAGGAAACAAAAGATTTAGTAAGTTGTGTCCTCGCAGTTATACTTCTATGTCACAGTTTCGAAACTACGAGCAAATTTTCTCTTGTCTCTGATGGATTGATGAATTATCGCGAGTGCCTTCAGACTATTCGGAAGGAAAACGACACGGCATGATAAAGATGCACTGATAGAGAAATCGGTTTTCTTGACTCCCATGCGGCGATGTCGTTTCGAGGGTTTTGCTTCACAGAGACTTCTGTGTTCATTCAATACCAGCCTTGGGAAAACCGGGTGCTATGCGAAAGATGGCACTATATATATTGACAAATACACTCATTTGTATATCAAATTGGTTTTCACGACAGATAGCTAAATCTCTCGTTTTGTGAAATTCTCAGCAAAGTGAGTAACCATCTTTGTAAAAAAATACATTGTGATGTTCCAGATAGTGTACGTACTGAAATATGAGGCTGTCTCTGTGTAGCACATTCAGCAACAGAACATAATAAAACAAGAGGTTCAGGTAAGTCTCCTGTGAAAACCAAATTGATATGTAAATGAGAGTATTTGCTAAAAATTGCCCAATTGTGGTTCCAGTAGAACATAGGATTGACAGAAACTTGGGACTGCTTCTATTCAAGAAGCGCAAAACCAGTTGTGGGCTGTCGAAGAGTTTCCCTTATGAAGGTAGTGTGTATTGTTTCGAGGGGCGTGCTTCGTAGGTAGGGTATAGTTTCTTTCCTTGAAAAGTACAATCCAGGATTCAAGACGTGCATCTGCTGTCATCAGTGGATTTGTTATTTATGTTCAGAGTTGTATGGATATCTGGGCAAGATCAGGATGAAAGTTTCAGCAAAGTGTAGGCATACTTTTTTCATTCTTTGAATAGGCCTTTCAGGAAAGATATATGTCTACCGGGCTGCTGATTTGCATGCCGGGATTTGCAGTTATCACATCAGTTGTACGTGTGGGGGGGGGGGGGTCGCGAAAATGTTGTTTTGCCTTTGGTTACATGTGAGCTCAAGGGGTTTAGGACCACATCTGCTCCCATGTCATCTAGATTCCATGAAGTATAAGCTACTGACCATGAATGTTATATCCGTAGAGTAAAAAAGCAGCTGCTGTAAAACGAAATGAATACGGGACAATGTAAAGAAGCGGCACAATGATTTCAGTATGAATCTACCAAGCTAATGATAGCATGGGTTAGACGACAGGGTCATAGATATATGGTCGACTGTCTGAGGATACGACGTCGTCTGTCGGTCACGTTTGCAAGCACATGCTTCACACACAGTGGCAAACTAAGGCGAATATAAGAAGGTCACGTGCATACATGTGATCGGATGTTCGAATGCTACAATGCGACTTGAAGCAGGTACGTTGACGTGTCCTCTCTGAGGTCCCGACAGAACCCGACTAAAAAGTATTAGCGGACTTAAATTAACATAGCAGCAAGTCCAATTAAATGGCTGCACACAGGCTGCCCTATTTGTCATTTAGCAATAGCTCGCAAATGGGTACTGATAATGTCTCCTCGTTTAGCGGCAAAGCGTTCGCAAGCTACTTGCTAAGTTAGGCGAACAGCTCAATGGTCATCTGATCAACATCCCACAGGACATGACAGCGTCACAGGCCGAGTGGTCTCACGTTCAGTTATCCTTCTCATTATCACAATAATTTTCAGTAGTGTCCCTTTCATTTGAGTAGCTCTCACCAGCTGACCTTGAGCTGATCATGGGAAAAGTGCAAAAGTCGAAATGTAAAATGAGGAACAAAAGGTAAGTGTGCTGGGGACTGGGTTTATAGAAACCGAAAGTGGAGAAAGGGGCCGTTTTGGGTTGGTCCACCAGTTTGCAGCACCTTTCCCTATCAAGAAGTGTCCCCAACCGTCAACGAGTGTTGTCACCTGCTTCCCTAACAGATATTTGGTGATCCTACTACGTCATACAATCCAGAAGCCAGCAACTCGAAACTGTCATAGGCACGTAGCCATAGGTTTCTCAGACATCAGGCGTGGCTATGACTGGACACTCGAGCAGCATGACCAATCAGGGTACAGTCATCATCATCATCAGCAGCAGCAGCAAAGACAGCAACATCAGTGTTGGCACTGATGCTTCACTGCCGTACCAGGGTACAGTGCTATTTTCAGTGGGATCTTCAGTGAGTGTACAGGTGGCTTGCTACCCTTGTGCATGTTTGCCTTGTTCATCCGATCCGTTAGCCTGTTGGCAACTATCTGAAGAAGACAGCCATGCTAAAAAACGAGTTTTTGCACACCTTTGACTCGTAATGACGGACTGATCGCATACATGCACTGAAGTCCTTTTTGTTGGTAGATAGCCTCATATCCTTCTAAATCCAGGATCCACGATCAGACAAGACGGGAGTGATGCATACCTAAAGTATATTCCCTCATCTTGTGAGTGACGTAACACACGGCATAAGCACAGGAGCATGCAGTACATCCCAACTACGTTAGCTTGTCGACACTCGTGAGTAAATAGTCTACAAAGTAGCGAGTAGGGTATTCCCCATCGCGTCTCGTAGCAAAAATTCAGTTTTCGAAGGTTTAAAGCGAGTTTAGGATACTCAAATTTCATCCTAAAACATTGACTGGAAGTGAAGAGAATCTCATCCCTATGCACACAGTCGGCGAGTAAGCAATCCAAAGGAATATCCACCGAGACTGACTGGAGGTTTTTCAATCATATTTTCAGTTAAGAAGCTCAAAAACGGAATGTATCTATCACCTTTCGTGGCCCCCGCTTGATGTGGACAAAAGTGTGGGATACCGTTATTGACCGACAGATCCCCTGAATCAAGCGGAATCCGTCACCGTGGTATGCACCTCCACAGGATAGGGGTGAAGTCTTCAGTCAACGCTTGTCTATATTTCAACTTGGCCACGGTTGTAACCAGACTATTGACGTCAGTCGTGCTTCATCCCGACCTAAAGCTACCACCTTGATGTGGTCGGGTTAGGCCAAACCCTGCAGCCGAGCAGGTCAGACTATTGAGTCATCGGCTCTGGGCAGGATCCCCAAAGAAAACCCTACATTCTCCCACTGCCCCGTGGGTCAGACTTTTGAGTCAGAGGCTAGGGTCACGGTCCCCGAACAAAACCCTACGTCATCCCACTGCCTTGTGGGTCAGACTTTTGAGTCGAAGGCTCAAGGTGGGGCACCTCAACCAAACCCCC